GGGCCTGCGGGCCACCCTCTGGCCCCCTGGGCCACCACCCTCGGGCCTGCGGGCCACCCTCTGGCCCCCAGGGCCACCACCCTCGGGCCTGCGGGCCACCCTCTGACCCGCCGGGCCACCACCCTCGGGCCTGCGGGCCACCCTCTGACCCGCCGGGCCACCACCCTCCCACCCGCCGGGCCACCACCCTCGGGCCTGGCCTGACGTGGAGCCCCACACCCATGTGCAGTTTCCAGCCTGGTGCGGGGGTGTGGGGCGGCGCAGGCTGCCAGAGTCAGGGACCCGGAGCGTGGGGAGGCTGAGAGCACTTCTGTCGGGGCCTGCGGGCGAGGCTGCTGACCCCGCCGTCCGGATCCGCGTGACACCCAAGTGTGGGCGTCGAAACCAGCCCCAGACCCCTGATCGCCCTTGGGGCCCCTGGGCACACATCCATCAAGCCCCGTCTGTCTCTCCTCGTGATGTCGGGGGCGGGCTTCCGCTCCTCACGGCCCCGGCGCCCGGGCGCTCCCTGACTGCAGCCCTCGCAGGGAGACCAGCTTTCTGCTCCCGGCTGCCTTGAAGGGCCCCTTGCGGGACGCGCCCCGAGCTGACCGGGCCGTGCTGGCCTTGCACAGAGCGCAGGCCCGCAGGGGACAGGCCGCCCAGGACGACCAGACCGGGCGCTGGCTGTACCCGACGCACCTCACCCCTCAGAGCCACCACGGAAGGGGGCTTCTGACCGACTGCCCCGAGCCTGGGCTGGGCTCGGGGCTCCTGGTGCCCGCTGGTGCCAGAGCCAGCTGGAGCAGTCACGCAGGTGTCGGTGGGGAAGCCGAGGACCCCAGAGTTGGAGTCCTCCGGGGCGCTCAGGGCAGGGGGCAGGGCGGGGTGGGGGCGCGGGGTCACAGAAGGGCCTGCGGCCAGGGCTCAGCCCGCACGTGCACAGGAAAGGGGACTCGGCTGCGCCCCCCCGCAGCCCCAGGCTGGCCCCGCCCCGCCCCGGACGGCCTCTCCCCAGGACACGCTGGTGGCCTCTGATCGCATTGTGCGGTTTCTGGCCTGACTTTTGAAGCTCAAGGCTCCTTCCCTTTGCTTTTATGTTATTTTTCACGGTGCGAAAGCACAACACTGTGAGAGCCCGTGCCAGACGGCCCCCTGCCCCCGCTGGGTGTTGGCCAGGCTGCGCGGCCGCCCACGCCCTCTGGGCCACTCAGCGGCCCCTCTGCCCAGCCCCGGCCCCCCCGGGGCCTCGCCAGGAGCTGGGGGCCTGGGCACACCCGTCCCCGGGCTCAGCCGTACCGTCCACCTACCCCAGGCCCAGCCGTGCCCACCTGTGCCGCCTTCCCGGCTCCGCCCTGGGCAGCGGCCCCTGTCCGCACGCTGCGGCCTCCAAGGGCCGCTTTCGGCCCCGCACACGCCGCTGGGCGCTCACAGCCCCACAGGCTCGGCTGGAGGGGGGTGCGGGAGGGCGAGGGGGTGCGGCAGGGTACGAGAAGGGAGCGGTCCGCAGGCCAGTGGCTGGCCCCGCTGAGACGCGCACAGAAAAGCACAAGAGGCGGCAGGGGTGGAGCGCTGTGGAGCGCGCGTGGGCAGTGGGGGCG